TTTATATCACAACGAGATATCTGGATTCTAATGGGTATGAATTAAAAATCAAAAGAAGGACCCATCTAGAAATGACGGGGCTTTAAATTCAGCATTTTAGTAAATTACTAAATTCAGCATTTTTTTGTACAATAAATTTAAAAGCATACGCTCTTTTAAGCACAGCTGATATAACACAAACCTTAAATTACCACGTTCACAGAGGAAACTGCTCATGGTGCTTTTAAAGCATTCATGTTCACCCAGAGCGTGAATGTACTACTGTTGTGAGTTATTTGCGTTTCTGTGTATTTCATCTCAAAAAGTTTTGAATAAAATTAAAAATAATACTTTCTTGCAAATCATGTCTCCTGGCAAAAAGATTACTGGTCGGAGTTTCAAGACAAGCTCACGAAGTAGGGCTCGATCGCAGTCCTGAAAGCCTAATTCAAAATTGAAGTGAGCAAGCGAATGTAAAAATATTAGCATTTCCAGATCCGTAGTATTTCGAAAAAGGCGAACGATTCATTAGAAATAATTTTGTATAATTAGCAGTTTGTTGAACGTGAAAACAGTCTTGAAATGCAAATTGTACCTGGAACAGCTGAACTTTACTGAGTGTATTATAATGAACAGACAATGCCAAATCGGTTTGTAGCTTTAGTGGCAATTTTTCTATCAGTTTCTTCTCGTCTGAAGGTAAACAGAAAACGAGTGATAGAATTGCTCATAGATGAGAAAATTAGCATATCAATGAGCCGTTGCAGTATAGACGGATGCAATTCTTATTTCGACCAAAAAAAGGAAGAAATCGAAGCAATATGTGAGTAAAACTGTTGCGAAATTAGCAAATTTCAATACTGTGGAAAAACCTAAAGTCTTCTGCTTCTGCCATGTGTAAATGAACCAGTCGCGCACACGATCGGTGATATCCTTTGATAAACCAAGCCGCTTACATTCTCGGAGTACTTGATCCATCGTCTGCCGGTACTGCTCACGGTTACGATTGGCGTTTGAAACAATATCTCGGATCTAGAGCATAACCAAATGTGCTGGCACAGAGAGAACTACGAACTAGGAAACACTGGTTACAGTTCGCCGGACGATGCAGCATTCTAACTACTGAAATTCGATCTCGCATCCTAGCAAACTTGCTGTATCAATTGAACGATCATAATGATGTCTAATGGCGCAACTAGTCAAGCCGAAGTCACACTGAAAATCTGCCCCTTATCCATCTTTATCGGGAGCAAAGGTGCTTAGAAGTAATTCGAGTTGTAGGACGTGCCAGCAACACCTGCTGGCAAAATGATGATGATTCAGTCTTTCGGAGCTGTTTATAAGCAAGTTGATGGGTGTTTTGACCACAAGGTATATACTAGTACTACTAGTCCATACCATCGAGACGAAACGAGCTTGGACCAGCGTCAAGTAGCGCTGCTACCGTGCTGAAGGCCAAGAATTCAACTCTGCCAGTGGGAAACCAATTCCTTTCATTTGTACTTATGAAAAACTCGTACTGGGGCATGTCAAAATTTAGAGCTGGCATAACTTTCTGAAATTTCCTCATCAGGAGAGAGAGAAAGTCATCGACAGCTTTTTCAGCGCCATGATTACCGCTGAGATGCGCTATCATTCGCATTATTTCTGAGTACCTACACTTCTTGAAACAAGTATATACGAAGAAATTTTT